GGGAAGCCCAAACCGACTTTAAACGGTACATTAGTGACAACATGCGAAGGACCATGTGACCAGATCATTCCTAAAGCTAAATCAACACCTTGTCAACACAATGCAGCGACAAGAGTGAAAAACAAATGTCATTTTCACAGTCTGAAACCCAGAAACCCCCATCGGATGCACTGGCACCAACGTTAGATGCACATATACTATTTAAAATGAGAGGGAATAAGAGGTAAAAGGGAAAGCACACCGGGAGAAAAAACTCTGTCAGCCACCTCAATTGCAGAGTAAATTATTTTCTGTCAACCAGATCCTGAAAAATGTAACGTAACAACGTCGCTCCAACGCAAGCTAGTCATTTCCCCATGTCGGTGCTCCCAACACACCAGCTCCTACCCTTGGTCCCCACTCTTCCCGAGGCAGAGTTTGCGAGCCACCTCTCACGGCAGCACCCTGAGAGCTGGAGAAACCTCAAGACGCGAGGTTCTCCCCAGCCGCTCTCGAACTTCGATGTTAGGCAGCGGGGGGGAAAAAAAAAAAAAAAAGGAAAAAAAAAAGCCCAAACCAGAAAAAAAAAAAACAAGGCGACAACCCAACAACACACCAAGCGCTTTCTAAAAGCTTTGAATTTTGGCCAAACTGCCCAGGACAGGGGTACAATATTCCTCAAGGAGTGTGCACAGCGCCAACGAGCGACCCTAGCCAGGAAACTTCTCTTGCTGCTGCAGGAGAACCCTCGAGTGAGCAGCAGATAAAACTCCCCTGCGAGAAACCACAGCCGACCAGCACCCAGAAAAGCAAAGTATAAGAAGCACCAAGTCAGCCCAGGTCCCCAAAGCTGCTCCTAGCCCCGTGCGGGAAAGCTAGACCCCCGCTGCATTGTACTGCGTTTAAATGTCGCTTCCAGGGTCCCTGACCCTCCGCTTCTTACTTTTAAACTGACACCGAGGGTTTGCTTTTCCCAGAAAAGGCAGAGCCGGGGCTTCTGCACTTCTCTCTGAAGAGTCCAGTGCCCTGAAGCCGGCGACTCTGAGGTGCCTTTAGGTACTTAAACATGGACAGGCTGCTTTCACGGTTCTGTGTTTTATTTGTTCAAGCCACTACCTTATAATTCATAAATATCTGAACCAAAAAACCCAGCGGTGACCGAGGTCACGCAAGTCGGCTGACCGAGAATTCCTTCCTAGCCCTGAGAGACTGGGACAAACCTTTCAAGACATTAACGCGTTTATTTCACGCAGGCGTAGCCCCTTCCTAAACGGTGGGGGATTAAATTCAACCGTGAAACCTGTTTTGTCGAAGCAGCTCCTAAACGCGGTTTATTTATTGCCCAAAGTTAGCCCATTTTCAATGTGCTATGAGCTATCTCTGCAATCAGTGATTTTCTGCAGCTAGCCGAACCAGCGCCTCACTTCTCCCCAAAAGCCACCCGAACAGGCACACGCACACGCGTGTCTGTGCCTGCGGGTATGCAAGACGAACGCAGCACATTTTACTACAGCAGCCTGAGCTTAATATTTTGGTACGAGGGAAACCCTTTCAGATTTTTTTCTGCTCGTGCTGATAGCAACGGCGAATACCAACACTTCACACAGTCAATACAAACAGCCTCTTAACCAGGACAATATCTATTTACACACTGACACACGGAACAACTAAACGTAAAATATACGGAGATAATACTCGCTAGAAGTAAACACTGCCAGCCAACTGATTATTTAGAGGCCTTAAACGGGTTATGTCAAAATGAAGAAAAACAGAAGAGCATCTTCCTGCTAAGGATCAGCTACATTATTAAAAATCTATAAAGGCAATAAGCTATCAAACCTTGCCCGACGGGTCTCTAACAGAAAACACATTCATAAAACCCAGAAGCATCGCTCGGCGAGGTTTATGTACTTTGCACCCATCTCCTCTCGGAAAACTCTCTCATGACTAAAGCAGCCGTCACTCTACATCTTCACCCATTATCAGTCAGAGCCACTTTGACTATCGAGGCTGTTATTACTCTTTCGCTTAAGAATGGCCACATATGTTTTAGAGGAGGGACGGTGCTTCTTTCAGAGAAGGCACCCGGAGCTCAAATGCCTCTGCCCAGCTCGCTGCAGCGAGGAAAGACCTGAACATGGGCAACAGAGTGCAAAAGGACCCCAATCCCTCAGATCGCCTCCCTGGAGAGGATACGATCTCTCTGCTTAGAAAATACTCTAAAACTTTAATTTTGTACTGGCTCAGCGATTAGGCAGGTCATGCCTTCGTGTTTCTGGCAAACTGCAACACAAGTCTGTCTCAGTTTCCAGGACGCACTGCACAGAGTCACTGGAAGTAGTTTTACTGGACCGTATTTCCAGAACCTCCCTGAGCTTTGGGACAGTCCCATAAAATAAGTTGCTCTGACCACTACAGACTGAGCAAAAAATCATTTTAACGCCGAGCTTGCAAATGGGCACACACGCCCAGGTTTTCCTCGACTTTTTCTGGAGAGTGGAGGAGTGAACCAAAGTTTCTAGAAGCTGAAAAGTGCCTATCTCACTTTTACAGAAATGCGATTTTTCTGCTTATTTTTACCAGATTATTTGCAAATGTTTATAGTAGACACAGAGGAACATCCCGCGTTATATATTGCCAAGGCCATGCAATTACAAAAACATACACCAGCGACTTTCCTGTGCTGCCCATAAGCAGCACGAGGAGCCCACTCGTGACATCTTTAAGGTCTGACAAAGGATCTCATGTAAATTTACCCTGCCCGGGCTCAGGAGGAAAAAAAAAAAAAAAAAACCCAAACCAAAAAAACCCCAAACCCAACAACCAGAGAAAAGAAATTCAAAAAACCCCCCCTGCGTCCCACAGACACATCACCTTTGCTCCAAAGGCTCCAGCAAACCGCACGCCCCAGCTCCCCAAGATCGCGGCCAAACTGCTCTCCTTACCCCCCAAAAAAGTTATTTCTCGGTGTTGGCCACCCTTTTCCTCTCCCAGCAGGCACAAACTCCCGAACTTTAGCATTTAGAGCAGAAATGTAAGAGGAGACATTGGAAACAACTAGGAACCGCCATCTTACAACCCATCCAATTTCACACAAGTACTTGTCCAACTTAAGTTAATAACATTTTCTGTTGGGTGCCCCGACGCCTAACAACCCCTCCAGGAGGATCGCTACCCCCCGCTGGCTCTGTCTCTATAAAATGGGTGCGTTATCTGACATTTTAACCTCCCCCAGACACATTTCTTTCGGGGAGGACTGAAATCACTTGACCCAGGCAGCTCCAGATTTCACGAACGTCCCTGTTTAATCAAAATCTGCCTTTAAACAAAGGGCGCTCAGGCCGGGCTGGCAGCAGGGTCTGGAAATATAAATATTCTCCTCGGGGGCCATGTGCACAGAAAGGTTTTAGGGGGCGTCTGGAGAAAGAAAGGAACTAAAATTTGCAAATGTGGGTGCGTAACGCGAGCGAGTGCACAGGCTGCTGCTGCGTGTCTGTCTGTGTGTGTGTGTGGCTGGAGCAGCCTGTCAGCGCTTTTCCCATACGGAGAGCTCGGGGGACACCTAGGCTCCCCTTTGCAGCCCCCAAACCGGCCGAAAACCGCCGCCGAGCCCCCTTCGCCCCCCGCCCTTGGTAAGGCGACACCTCGCTTCATACGTACCCGGAAAACGGAGCCGGTGGGTGATGATCGGAGCGGCCAAAAAAGACAATGAAAGTTAAAAGTCGTTCAGCAGAAAATGAATGTGAGCCAAGCGGCCATCTTGAAATGAACTGCAGACGCTGTCAATTGCAATAAGCTTATTGCCGCCGCCGCCGCTGCGCTCCGCTCATTTTAGTTACAAAACACCCGGGTTTTCTCCTCGCGTCCACCGGCCCTTCTCGCTCCCTCGCTCGCCCTCCGTGTTCGCCGCCCGGGCGGCTCAGGCGCTGGGAGCGCACAGTCTCCCCGGTCCGGATGGGTCCTCTCTCCACCAGCCCATTGTCTCTCCCTCTGCCCCCCGCTCCGCCTCGCGGCCTCGCTCGCGTCCCTTTTTTTATTATTATTGGTATTAGTACGAGTATTATTGTTGTTGTTATTTCATAGTTGGTGGCGGGGACCCGGGG